CGAGCGGGAGGCGCCGGGCCGGGCGGAGGGGGAAGTGCGCTGGAAAGTCCCTGGCCCGCCGCCAGGAACACTCAGCCCTCAACAACTCCGCGGAAAGCACCAGGCGGGGAAGCAGCAGCAGCCACGAGGCTTCGAAAAAAACCCAGGCTTTCGACATCATCTGCGCCTCTCCCGCTGATTACACTGATGCTCTTCCTCCATGACTTCAGCGGGCACGTTGCCTGCTGGGGTGAGGAATGTAGAAAAGCTGATCTCAGGGTTTTGAGGGGGAATTTTTCTTTTCTTTTCCTGTTCTTCGCTCATTTTTGGGGGGTTTTTCCCCTCTTTCTTTTGCAGAATTCTCCATCTGGCGATTATACACGAAGAAAAATTCTTGAGTTTGGAAATCATTCACCAGGCAGGACGAGACACAGACTTCTTGAATTTCCAGAATAACCTCAACCAGGTACTTAGAGAAATTCCACACACAGAGAGAAAAACACCAAACTTAATTAAAGCAGGCTTCTATGGGGACTTGGGACATGTCAAGAATTAAAATTGTGAAACACTATAATCAAGATAGATAACAGGAGTGAGTGGCAAAAGGTTGTAAGAGGGCCACAAAAGCACTTCTTTGAAGCCACAGAAGTCACTGTCCGGTTACAGTACTATCACTAGTTTGGCATGTTGATTTCTAACACTTTTCCACCAAAATCTGTTTAGGGGCTGCAATAGTTTTATACCTACAGCACTTGCAAGTGACTTTTTGAGGCTGGCAGTAGTATTGACATGGCACTGAAAAGGACACAACTGAAAAGGCACAAGGGCACACATAGGGGTTGGAGTCCCTGTGAGAGAGTTCTTGATTTACAGGCTAAACATCATTTAGCACAAAATTGTCATCAGTTTTCTCCTCAGAACAACCTTTATGTATTAGGTTAGGCTGAGAGATGGTCATGAGCCAGTGCTACTGAGTGATCTTGGTAGTTGAGTGAAGATTTGAACCCATTCTTTCTGGCTTCAGTCCAGTGTTCTTAATCATTAGCGCACCCTGGCTCAACTGGATATGCAAGGAATTAAATCTGGGACTGACTGTACGTCAGCTGTTGCTCTGCCACATAGCTTTACCTAAGGCTTCTCTGTATCCTGGAAAGCCTTTTAATCTTACCAATAGATACCACGTACCACAAGAAGAATAAACATTGAGAAAAGCTTAGGAATGTAAAGTCATGGGTCCTGAAAAATGCAGATTCTGGAGCCTTTCGTGTACAAAAGAGGGAGAGATTTACTCATAGGAAGGTGTACTTGGAACCAGTTGCTTCAAGCCATCAGATGTGTATCTGGGGGATTTCCCTGCTTATCAAGCATATGACCCTACTTTCTCACTTTCAATTTGTAGACACCGCTTCATTTGGCTGTGATCACAGACCAACCTGAAATTGCAGAGACTCTCCTGAAAGCCGGATGTGATGCAGAGATCAGAGATTTCCGAGGAAACACACCGCTCCACATTGCTTGCGAGCAAGGCTCTCTCCGAGGTGTTGGTGTGCTCACGCAGTACTGCCTGAAACATCAAATCAGCTCTCTTCTGCAGTCATCAAACTACAACGGTAAGCACATGCACCAGCATTGTGATAAGACAGTATATTTAGCTTACTGACAGACTTCGTACTTATCATACACTGTTTAAAATGATTCAGGGAGTTGGTTTGCTCTTGGAAAGACACTGATAACTAGGAGAGGACATGTCTGTTTTTTTATTGTCCACTTATCCAGCTGTCCAGATGTTTTAAATGTATATATAGTGCCTTGGTTGAGGCTTCTAAAACACTCAAAATATCTGCAGGGCCGGAAGTTCCCCATTCCTGATTAATAATGTCATAATCACAGTGAAAGTTGTCTAACATCTGAATAACAGCATTTTTAAAAATCAACCTATCTCTACTAAAATCATCACACGATGAAGTCCTACTAGTGTGAGTTGGATTAGGTACAAGATTATATGGTTTAAGATAACATCCAGTGTGTTGGAAGGATTTTATGCTTTGTGGAATGATAATGTGCTTAATTTTTCCTCCCATCTGTTTGTTTTACAGGACACACATGTCTCCATCTGGCTTCTATTCAAGGCTATTTGGCCATTGTAGAGCATCTCCTATCCTTGGGAGCAGATGTCAATGCTCAGGTGAGTTTTCTGCGATTAAAAATAATCAAAGCTGATTGTGTGATTGAAAAAAAATTGAACTTTTTTAAAACGTTTGCCATTACTAATAAAATACACTATTCTGTTTTTGTTCTCAATAGGAACCTTGTAATGGAAGGACTGCCTTGCATTTGGCTGTTGATCTGCAGAATCAAGAACTGGTGTCCCTTCTCTTGAAACATGGAGCAGATGTAAACAAAGTCACCTACCAGGGCTATTCGCCATACCAACTGACGTGGGGAAGAAGCAACTCATTCATACAGGAACAGCTGAGGCAGTTCACCACAGCAGACCTCCAGACGCTGCCAGAAAGTGAAGATGAGAGCTGTGAATCGGAATCAGAGTTCACAGAAGATGAAGTAAGTCATTCATTCTTCTTGGGTAGTGAGAACGAGCTTTCCGCTCAGTGGCCAGAATCCTCTTGCAGAACACTCTGCAGGTAGAATATATCATCACACAATATGAATATTTAACTTAAATGAATCGAAAACTTCTTATTCTCCTTCTGTCAGATTCTGTAGTTCCCTAGCATTCCCTTTATCAGGGGGAAGTTTTGGGAGCCTCGGATTGGGTAGTAGTTTCATCTTTTTAAGCTTTTAGAAATTAAGGATTGATTCAAGTGTTCAGATGTTAATTTCTTCTACAAAAGCAGCTCAAGTTTATAGAGTGCTTGCAAGTATGCTCTCATATAGTATTTCATGACAAACTGATTTATTTTGTTTTTTTTGTTTTTTCCTTTGTCCTCTAGCTTCTCTATGATGACTGCATAATTGGTGGATGGCATGTACCTTGTTAAAGTGGGAAAGTAGTGGAGAAAAAACAGACAAACACCATGTGAACAATAACTGGATTGGACCAGGAAGCACAGAGCACTCTGTTAGAACAGCAAGTGCTATGTACGCAGTCCAAGGCACTGTTTGAGCATGAATGACGGTCAAACACCAGAAGAGGTCTGGGCCCCATTTGTGCCAGGGAGCTGATTGTCCAAATAAACAAGCAGTATGAGAACTGGAAGGTCCACTGATGTTTTCAGTGCATTCTCAGAAAATGGATCTAGCTAGGGGCACCATCTGTTGTGTCTTTTTCTGGAAGACATTCCCTATATTCCAATCTGACTGATAATCCATTCCAGACACATGCTTTGTGCTGCACAGTGGACAGAGGCTTTTCAAGCCAGGAAATGACAGCTCATCCATCTGCAAGAAGGGATATCAGTAACACTCAGACTCTGTATTGCAACCTTTGCAATATTTCTGTCATGTATATACTGTAAATCTTGTGAATAATTTTTGCTACCTGTGAGATGTATATTTATTAAAAAAAATATTAAGAAATGCGCTGGATTGGTGAAGTTTTCATCTTATGAAGAATGTCTGACTTTTCCTCATTGATTCCTGTTTACATAAAATTAAGAATCTCATGCGCATCTCATTATATTTTTGCATGGATTTTCACAAACGCACCAAAAACCCAACTAGTCTTGTACAGTAGCTACTTAGTGCAGGATTCGGATAGTGGTCAACAGCATGCCGCTTCATTTCATTTCATTCTCTTAGAAGAGACTGAGGGAATGTGTGATTGAATAAAACACTTTCCAGATAGCCAAAGTTGAATGATGAGATTTCTAAACAGCAACATGAAGTGATACTATTCCATTTTCAGTATTCCTTAATTTATTCTTCTTAATTATCCATTTACCTTCTCTATGCTGAGGAGTGAGAGCTTATAGCCATCAAAGTTAAGCACTTTTAACCCCCTTTGGGTTTTGTGGGAAAGATTTAAACCCAGTGCTATTAACTCTCCTGCTAAAATCTGCGAAAACTCCTAAATGGCATGAACTGGTGCATGCAAATCTAGCGCTATTGCTGGATAGTGCTAAAAATAATCAGCAGTTGCCAGAATTCTATAATATGCATCAGTTCATGCCAAACTAAGCAGCAGCAAATTTACATTGGTTAAGGAGTCTATTCTTCCTTGTTGCACGTCAAATCATGAATACAAGCAAGAAACATTAACTAGCAGATATTTTTTGGCGAGATTCACACCACTTGACAGCCCACAATACAGAAGTAATAGGATGATGATGATTTTATTATTTATATGCCACATTTGTCCCAACAAGGGACCCAGAACAACTCGTGTTAAAATTCACACAATATATAAGTTAAATATTAAAAGACAATACAGTATATGATTTTAAATTACATTAAAACATGGAAAAGATTAAAATTATCTGCTAAAGTGGGGTTCAGGGATTCAGTTGTAATTGTTAAAAGCCTGCCTGAAGAGATGGGTCTTAACTTTTTTCAGAAGGATAAAGGGGAGAGAGGGAGAGCATTCCATAGCCTGGGAGCTGCCACAGAGAAGGCCCTCTCCTGTGTCCCCATCAGCTGTGCTTGTGCTGGCAATGGGATCGAGAGGAGGGCCTCTGCTGATCTTAATCGCCAAGAAGGTGCATATAGGGAGATACAGTCCTTCAGGTAGCCTGGACCCAAGCTGTATAGGGCTTTATAGATAATGACCAGCACTTTGAATTGGTACCTGAAATGTACTGGCAGCCAGTGCAGTTGTTGGAGCAGGGCCATTACAGTGGTGCCTCGCATTACGATGTTAATTCGTTCCAGCAAAATTGCTGTAAAACAAAAATGTAATGCGATTTTTAAAAGCCCATAGAAACGCATTAAAACCCGATTAATGCGTTCCCAGGGGCTTGAAACTCACCGTCCAGCGAAGATCCTCCATAGCGCGGCCATTTTCGC